TGAGCCTGCGCGTCTGGAGCCTGTGCTCCGCAACAGGAGAGGCCACAACAGTGAGAGGCCCGCGTACCGCAAAAAAAAAAAAACAAAAAAAAGGAAGAGCCTGGGTTGGGGGTGCCGGAGGCCCTGGGGTTCGGGACGTTCGCTAACCTTCAGAGAAGGCGTGTCTGGCCCGTCAGCCCCTGTGGAACACGTACAGTTACTTTTAAGCTTTTGCCTCAGTCAGCTTTGATTCTGAATATAAATTTTTGTCGTAAGCAGTCATGGTGGGTCAGATTCTGAGGGACGGGGTCGTATGCACACCCTCAGTGTGTCCTCCGGGGGCGCCCTGTGCCCTCCCCTGTCGGACCTGTGCAGCCGGGGCCGCCCCCATCTCCTGATTGTGTCTCTTGCCACTGGGCTCCCACTCGCCCCCTCGCTGGGCCCTCCGCCTGCCCCGGGTGAGCGCCCACAGCAGTTGGCTGACCCCGGGCACGGAGACTCGGCTCCATCCTTGACCAGTAGGGCCGTCTGGTGCCCGTCCTTCCCGGGGCCGCTGTCATTCTCCTGGGGGCACCACGCCGATGGTCCGGGGCTGGCGATGGTGTGTGTGTCCGGTGTCCGTCCCCGCGGAGGCCAGGCACTTGGGGCCGCTCTGCTGCTGTCTCTGGGACCGTTTCCAGCCCAGCGCCTGGCACAGGAGCTCGGAGAACATATATGTGAATTGTTGCCGTTGCAAGTGGCCTGGGTCCCCAGAGCACGGGAGGGAGTTGAGGTTTTGTTCTGACCTCACGGGGGGAAGGTTTGTCCTGCAAGGGAGGGTGTCCTTGCAGACGAGGGGCCAGGTCGAGCGTCGCCGAGGTGACCTGCTCCCGTCCAGGGTTCCAGAGCAGCGTTAGTTAGCCCGCGTCTGCCGGGAGGCCCGGAGGTTGTGTTCTGTGGGGCGGGGGCCCTTGAGAACGTCAGCTGGGGCCCAGGGTGGGCTCGGGGTCCAGGGTTCCGGGAGGTCCTGAGGCGGCGGCACGACTCACCCCACCGTCCCCACAGAGACGCACTGCGAGCAAGACGGGCCCTCGCCGCCCACCCCGACGGCGCCACCCCGGCCCTCGCCCGCTCCGGCACCCGAGAGCCCCTCGGTGTCCAAGTACAACGTGAGTGGTACCAACGGGACCTGCCTGCTGGCCAGCATGGGGCTGCAGCTGAGCATCACCTACAGGACAAGGGGCAACACGGTAGGCCGGCCGGAGCCCTTCTCCCTGCCCTAAGCCTTGCGGACCGGGCGTCCCGGGGTGGGTCGCGGGTGCTGCGTGTCCTGAGCTGCTCAGCTGGACCCCCGTCCCACCTGGGCCACTGTATGTGCAACGGCAGGGTTGAGTCTCCCGACCCAGGCTGTTGTGCGGCCCCAAAGCCTCAAGTGTGTTGCCACCACAGGACGGGTGTGCTGGCCTGGGAGGTGGTGGGATTTTCTTGGACGCTTTACTGCTCAGACACTTGGGTTGTCTTTCTACTCTTCCCTTGAGATATGACGTTTCTCCCTGAGGGTGAGAGTCTGGGGATGGAGACAGGGGCCGCCTGCTGCTGCAGGGACGTGAAAGCAGCCGGAAGTACCAGGAGGACCGTCTGGCATCCGCACTCTGCCCGTGGGAACTTGTCATGTTTTCTTCTGGGTTTGGTTCACGTGAACGTGGCTTTGAAGCCGCTGCTTCGGGGCTGCCTGTGTCCCCTCAGGAGTGCAGGCCCGGGGGAGGGGAAGCCGACCTCTTGGCTCTTCTAACTAGACGGTGACCAGAGAGTTCAACATCGACCCCAACAAGACCACCTTCGGGGGGAGCTGCACAGCCCAGCTGGTGACCCTGGCGCTCCGCAGCGGGAACCTGCTCCTGGTGCTGCAGTTTGCGATGGTGAGGGCCCCCCGGCCTGCCTCCTGGACCCTCGGCCCCACCCGCGTCTGTCAGCAGACGCCTTGCGCTTATCCCGCAGACGGGGCAGGGGCGACCCGGGGCCTCAGGTGCTGTCCTCCACCCGTCCTGGGGGCGGCGTCTCTGCGCCCTCTGCTCTTCATGCCTGCCTGGGAAGGGCCGCGTGTGCGGTTAGCAAAGGAGTGAGGGAAGAGCCCCTGGTGGGTGTCCGTGGTACACTCTGCAGGTGAGCTGCTGGGTTTCTCCTGATGAAGTTCAACTTCCCTAGGAAGTTAGATGTTGACTTTTCTGGAACGTAGCTCCTTCAGTCCGCATCTTATCAGAGTCTGATTCTGTAACAAGGTCTGTAAGGAGCTGATCAGGATTCATGTTCCCGAGACGACAGGCTGCCTTTTATGGGCTGGGCGCTCTGCAGTTTCCTTCTGAAGCTACGGGCGCGGGAGGCCACCTTTATCACCAGCCCCCCCACCTCCCCGGGCCTGGTGGTGACTGATTGTCGCCTTCTCCCTAGAATGCAAGTTCCAGCCGGGTTTTCCTGCAGGAAGTCCAGCTTAATATGACTCTGCCCGATGCCAGAGGTAAGACCGCACCCCCCGCCAACCGGCATGCCTGTGCGGGTGCCCCAAGGCACTCACCCCTGCTGCCTTTGCAGAGCCCACCTTCTGGGCCACCAACAGCTCGCTGAGGGCGCTGCAGGCCGCCGCCGGGAACTCCTACAAGTGCAACGCCGAGGAGCGCGTGCAGGTCACCGAGGCGTTCTTCCTCAACATATTCAGAGTGTGGGTCCAGGCGTTCCACGTGGATGGGGACAGGTTTGGGCCTGGTGAGTAGGCGAGGGCGTGGTAGCTGACGGCTGGGGGACCCCTTTCAAGTCAGAGACGTTAGCGTCAGTTCCGCTGCCCGCGCCACCTGGCCTCTGTGCGCTCCAGCCCGCCTGCGGGTGTGCTCACGCCGCCCTTTGAGCAGAGGGCTGCTGAGACCCTTCCGCGCGGGAGCGTGTGGGCAGCGGGCGGAGGTGGGCAGCTGGGCCGTGTGTCTCCACAGTGGAGGAGTGCCAGCGGGACGCGCACAGCATGCTGGTCCCCGTGGCCGTGGGCGGTGCCCTGGCAGCGCTGGTTCTCGTCGTCCTCATCGCCTACCTCATCGGCCGGAAGAGGAGCCACGCCGGCTACCAGACCATCTAGCCGGCCGGCCACCCGCGCCCGCCGCGGGCCAGCAGCAGCTGCGCAGCCTCGGGCCCTTCCCTGGGCTTAGGTTGCTGCCAGGGGGGCACCCTTCCTTGCAAACTGGTTTTCGAATCTGCTTCGTCCAGTGTGAAGCTCATCCGGCCACATTTACTATGCACAAAAGAGTAACTATGGAAATGACGGTGTTAATTTTGCTAACTGGGTTAAATATTTTGCTGACTGGTTAAACGTTAATATTTACCAAAGTAGGACTCTAAGGGGGGTGGGGGGTAAGAGAGCTTTTCTAAATGGGCACTGGCTCCGCTGTCATTCGGCTTTTTAAGAGTCCGGTGTTTGGTGTCTTCACTCTTTACTCAGATGTAAGCCTTACAAAGGGAGAGTCTGGTCTTAATGCTTTGAGGAAGGCTGGTGGCTGTGAGCCTGACACGAAGAAATGAGTAGGAACGAGGATCGCGGGGCAGGCGTAAGAAGGAGCATCAGGGCTCGCGGGCGCCGGGTCCCGGGCTTCCCACGTGCTGCCACTCAGAGCTGGCACTTCTTAAGACAGAAAAGTGGGCGTTTACTTTCTTGTGAAGTGATTTTCCGTCTTCTGTTGGAGGTTTGGGGTGATCCTTTGTTTGCACTGTGTACAATAATCGTTTCACTCTGATTCATCGCTTGCAGCTCGGTGGGCTGTGTGCTGAGGACCGTCCCCTCCTGGGACGCGTTGCCGTAACAATGCTAATAAAATGTCTCTTTGTTTGTCTGTCTGGGCCTCATGCTTTTGTCAGCTCCCGGCGAGAGGTCACGATGGGTGTGCGGTGGGCAGGGTGTGCCTGGGGGGCTGCCGTGTGGCTGGTCCTCTGGGTGGCAACTTGAGGAAAGGCCAGTCTTCAGTGGCTCAGGGGACAGATCACCCCATGGAAGATAGGCCCTTACCTGTTCCCCCGGGTCAGCGGCCGCCGAGGGGGAGCCGGGGCCCCAGTTAGAAGAGGCCCGCGCCCTCGGAGGACCCACAGGCCTTGCTGAGGCCGAGTGCAGCCTGCCTGCGGGTGGCCTTGTGCGGCCTGTACTGTGCAGCCGTCCCTTGAGACCAGGCTCAGCGGAGCAGGGCCGTGAGGGACGCTGAGGTGGGGTAGGATGCGGCCGCCCAGCAGCAGCCCAGCCGCAAGTGGCGTGAGCTGCGTCATCGTCCTGCATGTCCATCTCCGCTTCTCTGCGGTGTGGGTGGTACAGGCCTGAGCCCGGAGAGACCAGCAGCTGGCCCGTCCTGCAGGGTCACGTCTTGGCAGGCGTGGTGGGATTTGTAGCATCACACACAGTAGGAACACGTTAAGTTAAACCCAGCGTGGAGGTGGTGCGTCTGCCTTCGTGGAGCCCTGGGCAGTGACGCGCCCCAGGCCCTAGCAGTGCTGCTGGTGAGCTCCCACGGAGGGGAACCCGTCGTGTGGTTCCTTCCAGGAAAAGCCCACCTGTCCCCGTGTGTCCTGTGCAGGACAGCCTGCCCGGGCTGTGGGTTTCTCAGCCAGAGGTAGAGCCCCCAGAGGGAGGGAGGCGGGGCCAGGGTGGAGGTTCAGGGCTTCCAGCCCTGAGCAGAGGGGTTTGGCTGGGGGCATCTTCTCCCTCCAGGGGTCCGGGAAGACGCAGCCCAGATCTGACTTGCAGGCCTTAAATCTTACACACGTACATCTGGTTTATTCTTCACGTAACACGATAATTTAAAAAAATCATTTGAAAAACTTACCTTCTACAGCGAGGTCACGTGCGCAAACCTCCCCTGGAGGCCACTGCTCTCCTGCAGGAAGGACGGTAAGTACTGGCGCCAGTGACACTGATGCAAAAGTCACTGCTAGGGGTTAGTTTTCAGTGGCTGGTGAGCCGATGCAGACTGACAGGTGCCGACGGAATAAACACAATCGCACACGTCACGTGTATATTATCAGTGTCTCAGGTAAAAATATATATTTAGAAACACAAAGAGCTAGACTTGAAGAGCTACGTTACAGAATGACAAATTGCTCCCGGCTGGAGTGTGGAGGGTGGCGGCCCGATGCCCTGAAGGCTGGTCAGCCCTGCGCCAGCAGCCGGGCCCGGCAACGCTCCCTCAGCCTGGCGATGCTGGCCCTGGACAGGCTCCCAGGCTCCGAGAAGATTTTCTGGAACAGAAAGGGATTAGTTTAGATCCCGCAACGCGTTTCCGCTTCCTGCCCCTGTAAAGGCTGGGCTGAGGCCCGTTGGTCAGTGAGCGAAGGAAGGTCACCTGTTTCCATCACTTTTTAAAACCGAAAGGATGATAGTGACAGAATAACTCAACCACCAGCCCAGACGCTGCCCGAAGAGTCTGCGGCTTCCCCACGCGCTGGGAACGCAAAGCCCCTTTGACCTTCACCCCAGGAGGGCAGGGGCTTGGGGAGCCCGGTGGGGCGGCCGGAGTTTGGAGCAGAGAAGGGTTTACTGCGGGCCGAGCAAGCAGAACGGGCGGCTTGTGCCCCCAAAAGGCCCAAACTCCCGGAAGAGTTTCAGCAAAGCATTTTCAAGACCAGATGGGGGAGGGGGTCCCAGGATGTGTGATCAGCTCTGCACAGTTCTCTGGTTGACGGTGAGGTCACAGGGTCACATTATCAGTCCTCAGGCGCCAGAAGGGCTGGGGGCGACACTCCTTGGTGGTTTTAGCATCTGAAAAACTCAGGAAACGTGCGTGAGATACGATTATCTGGGTACTTCGGAGGAGCCACAGCAGAGGAGATGGGGGAGGGGTCTGCCCTGGGAAGGCCCACAGGGTCTTGCTTCGTTACACTTGGGTCACGTTTAGTACTTTAAAAATTTTGAATCCAATCCATAAAATGTCTCAGATTCTGAAGTCTGAGGCTCTGAGCTCCTGGAATTAAAATTCGGTAACGTCTTGTCCAATTTTAATTCTTTTGGTGTTTCTTTGTTTTTGTGGTAAAACCCACATATTGGGTTGGCCAAAAAGTGCCTTCGGTTTTTAAAAATAAAAGACGTTTTTCATCTTCACCAAGAACTTTATTGAGCAACGTATTCGCCCTTTTGCTCCACTACCTTCTGCCATTTTTCAGGCAACTTCATGATTCCGTCTTCCCCAAACTTTTACCTTTCTCAGCAAAGAACTGTCCCAGGTGCCTCTTACAGTCTTTCAGGGAATTGAATTTTTTTCCATTAAGAGAATTTTGTAAAGACCAAAATAAATGGAAATCCGAAGATGCAACATCTGGTGAATACCGAGGATGAATCAGAACTTACAAACTGTAACAAGCTGTAACAGCCTTTGCCTGGTCATTGAAGAAACATGCGGTCTTGCGTTATCCTGGTGGAAGATTATGTGTTGTTTTCTGTTGACTAATTCTGGACGCTTCTCATCGAGTGCTGCTTTCAGTTGGTCTCATTGGGAGCAGTACTGGTTGGAATTAATCGTTTGGTTTCCTGGAAGGAGCTCATAATAGAGGACTCCCTTCCAATCCCACTATATACACAGCATCACCTTCTTTGGATGAACACTGGCCTTTTGAGTGGTTGGTGATGGTTCATTTCACTTGCCCCACAATCTCTTCCATTCCACATTATTGTACAGTATCCACTTTTCATCGCCCATCACAATTTGTTTTAAAAACGGAACGTTTTGATTACGTTTCCGTAGAGAATTGCATGCGGAAATATGGTCAAGAAGGATTTTTTTCGCTTAACTTATGTGGAACCCAAACATCAAAGCGATTAACATAACCAAGCTGGTTCAAATGATTTACGTTTGATTTGGAGATTTTGAGTACGTCTGCTATCTTCCACGTGGTATAACATTGATTGTTCACAATTAATGTCTCGATTTGATCGCTATCAACTTCAACTGGTCTACTCGACTGTGGAGCATCGTCCAGCGAGAAATCTCCAGCACGAAACTTGGCAAACCACTTTTGGCACGTTCCAGCAGTCACAGCACCTTCTCCATACACTGCACAAATCTTTTTGCATTTTGGCTGCGTTTTTACCTTTATTGAAATAATAAAGCATAATATGCTGAAAATGTTGCTTTTTTCATTCCATCTTCAATATTAAAATGGTTACACAAAAATTCACCCATTTTGATGTCTTAAAAGGATGCTGATATGACAGCAGTCACAATACAATCTAACAAAATTGTTTTTTTTTTAAACATGTCTTTATTGGAGTATAACTGCTTCACAATGCTGCGCTAGCCTCTGTCGCACAACAAATGAATCAGCCACGTGCACACATACCTCCCCACAGCCCCTTCCTCTTGCGTCTCCCTCCCACCCTCCCTAGCCCACCCTTCTATGTGGTCGCAAAGCACCAAGCTGATCTCCCTGTGCTCTGCGGCTGCTTCCCACTGGCTATCTGGTTAACATTTAGTAGTGTATATATGTCCATGCCGCTCTCTCACTTTGCCCCAGCTTCCCCTCCCCATTCCCTGCCTTGTCCTCAAGTCCATTCTCTCTGTCTACATCTTTATTCCTGCTCTGCCATTAGATTCATCAACACCATTTTTTTTTTTTTTTTTAGATTCCATATACATGCGTTAGCATACGGTATT